TGCAAGACCTGCAGATGCGGCAAGAGATGCACGGCATGGCGCGCGCCGGCGTCAAGGACGCTGAGCTGATGCTCTCATCCTGGCAGAGATTGGACGCGGAGATGCAGGCTTGGCTCCCATGTCTTTGGGGAACGGGCGATGTTTCAATTGCCTCTGCCTTTTCGGGTTCTTTTGCCCTGTTTGGTTTTGAAGCTGTGCTTGGAGCGTGCTTGACGAATCTGGTTCCACAGCTCCCAAAACACCGGCCTGAAAGGCTCCTAGCTCTTGTCCAGCCCCCAATCTCCAAATGCGCGGGCAATACTAAGCCAGTTCTAAACGTCCCACCAACACCAACTGCAGTCATATTGCAGGGCTCCCAAAAACAACAACTTGATATGTTGGTTGAAAAACCGTATCAATTTGCGAGTTAATTGGCACCTGATCCATTCTGAGTGGATTCCATTGAAATCCCTTGCTGCACTTCGCATAATATCAGTGTTGACGTTTTCTCTGACGGCTAGAATAATGACCAGGGCTGGACCGGACGCCCGGCAAGACTCTCCGTCAAACACGGTCATCGGGCACATGTTGATTCCAGACGTGTAGAAAATCAGGGGAAACGATATAGTGATAACTAGATGGAGCCTTTTTCGCTGGGATTCTAAGGGCAGATACAACTTCAATCGGCGTCCAACAGGGCCTTGTCTTACTCTTGCGCGCGCATCTTCACTGGGGGAAGGCAGGTTGGACCCCAACAAATGTTCATTCGGTGCGTCGCTTGCAGTCCGCAGAGGATGCATGTATCACAATGTGCAACGCGCCACAGCCAAAGCGATCGGATTTGCACAAAGTTTCCCTGATTCTGAACCGGATGATGCTAAAGCGCTGTGAAGCGATATAGCGAACTCCAAAAAACGATGACAAACAAAATGCAGGTGTTCCTTGGAGGTTTTGCCGGTCGTTCATGTGGATGGGGTTAGGGGTATCGATTAGATTGTCGAACCTGCAGGAGGTGGTGCGCTCAGCACGAACTCCGGACAGCGCGCTTGGCACAGTCTTTAAGAAACACCTGGAGGAGGCCCTGTTGACGCGCGCGAAGGCTCCGGAAGAATGTGAGGCCGCTGGCTGGGCGCTGTGGGGAAACCTCACCAAGGTGCGAGAGTGAGGGAACTCTCTGACGGATCCGGAGGTTTGCTTCCAAGTTGTTCCAGCAGGTTGCTCCTGCAAGTGTTCCTTTCAATTTTGTCCCCCTGCCTGAGGATTCCAAGATGTCCGAGGTGGTGTTGGTGAAGGGCATGGCCCAGTTGCTTTTGGAGAGCGAGGGCAGGAATGGCACCAAGTTTGACTTGGCCAGCGAGACTGGAGCGATGGTGTGCTCCTTGCAGCCTCAAAAACTCGAAAACACGACTCTCTCCAGAACTCGACCTCTACGAGCAGGAGAGATGGTGGTTTGCTTGAATGAGATGGAGCCAGGTTGCAATGCGGTACTTCCCAACGGCAAATCTGCTCTGAATGCCGCCGTCCTTTGGGGCGTTTGAAATTGCACAGGCTGCAATGCGTTGCCACCCAGTTTTGCGCAGGAGCTATGGGGCAAATCATTTCGCTGTGCTGTGAAGGCTATGATGCCAGATGTTGGACCTGCGCCGTACGTGGCCAGAAAAAGCAAGGGCGCACGCAAGCTGAGCAATGCGCTGATGTCCACATAGTTGGGAAATGTGTTTGCCGTCGGCCCCCAACTCTGCGCTTGAGCTCTTAATTTCTTTACTTGGTTGCTGGTGGCCGTGTTGCTATTTGATTGTTTAGCTGATCTTGGCAATGATTTCGCCATCTCTCCCTGACAGTTTAAGATCTCTGGATAGTGGGATGTGATTCGTGCATTTTCCCGACATGTTTTGTTTGGATGACATATTCAAGCAATCCTTTGGCGCGTGGCTTTCTTTTGCGCTTCGCGGTCTTTCGCGTTGAATTCGCTCGTTTCCGCTGAGCACCGAAGTCTCGAGTCCTCGAGGCCAGTGAAGCTGTGTACGTGTTGGTTCTGTCAACCGGACACTGAATTGACGCAGCGGAGCTTCAAAATGGCTGACTCAGCTTCGCTTAGCTTGTTGGGCAGCTGCGACATGTGCTTATCCGTACCTTTCTGTCAGTGTTCATCTATTTGTTGCTTTGGCGGTCTGCCGGTTTGTCGGTCTGTCAGTCTTTTGTTTCTGTCCATGTCTTGTCGGCTTTGGCCTGTTGGTTTGTCTGAGTCTGTCGGTGTCTTCGTGTGTCTCTTTGTCTGTTGATTGTTTGAGTTGTTTGTTTGATTGATTGACTGATTGATTGATTGATTGATTGATTGATTGATTTGAGTTGATTTGATTTGATTTGATTTGATTTGATTTGATTTGATCGATCGATTGATTGAGTGAGTGAGTGAGTGAGTGAGTGAGTGGTTGTTTGTGGTTTTTTGTTTTTTTGTGGCTACGTTTACCTAGACACACGCGCTTTTCACCGCACATTCCCAAATGGCACGGTTGCGAAACGCGCATTTTCTGTCTTAGTCCAGTTGCAGCGTCCGTGCGCCGACAACATCCGTCCGCCCAGAAGCACTCGCTCAATACTGTAACCAAGCCTGCCAAAACGAAGCACACCCGCTCAAGTGCACCCGCCGTTGTACCCCTGCGACAAGAAGTGCTCCACACGAGCAGCCGTGTTTTGTGTGAAATTGGGTGTGCGGGAGCGGCTGAGACTCAGAGCAAAAGTAAGGTTGAGCCGACGGCTCTTGATCGAAACATAATCGAAACCAAGGGAAGCCAGACAACACAAGCGCGTGTAAGGGGATTCTTGTTGAGTTTCTTCAGTACCTCCCTTGCTCCTTACTTTCTGCGCAGCCGCATTGCCCTATTCTTGTTCGGGGCTCCAGTGGAGCGCTGTTCCTGTTGTTGTCCACCACGCAACGGAACGGCCTTTGCCTCAAGTTCTCGCGGTGTTGCCAACTTGGTTGAGAGACAAAATCGAGCTGCCAAATTTATACGTCCAGTAAGAACTGACTGTCAGAGGCTTGTTGGGGTGTTGTTATCGCTTTCCAATCTACATTGTGCGCGTTGTGTTCGGCGGCCTACGAAGCCCTGCTGTGAGTCTTCTGGCCGCATGGCACACATGTCGCTGCATTGGATTGGGCATCTTTAGTTCCACCATGACGTATAATTACCACAACTTGGTTGAGAGACCAAATCGAGCTGCCAAATTCTGAAGTCCGGTAAGAACTGACCGTCTGAGGCTTGTAGGGGGTTGTCATCGCTTTCCAAGTCACGGTGCGCGTTCGGCCTGCTGTGAGAATTATTTTGGCTGCATAGCACATGTGTCACTGCAGTGGATTGGGCATCTTTAGTTCCACCATGGCTTAATAGGATAGACTGAACTTGGCTGAGAGACAAAATCGAGCTGCCGAATGCTGACGTCCGGTAAGAACTGACTGTCAGAGGTTGTGGGGGGTTGTCATCGCTTTCCAAGCCAGGTGCGCGTTGTCTTCAGCGGCCTACGGAGCACTCTGCTGTGAGTCTTCTGGCCGCATGGCACACGTGTCGCTGCGTCGGATTGGGCGTCTAGTTCCACCCTGACTTATTCTCCGGCAAGAACTGACTCTGACTGTCAGAGGCTTGTAGAGAGTTGTCATCGCTTTCCAAGCCATGGTGCGTGTTGTGTGCGGCCCACGGAGCACTCCTTGGCTGACAGCACATTCTTTCTATCTGGGGTCTATGCTGGTATACTTTGTGGTGGCGCGGTAAATGTGTGCAAAATTGAGGCCAGAGCAGATTCATGAAAGAAAAGACGCTTATGGCTTGTGAACAAAGCACGTGGCTTCCGTTGCATCTTGCTTTTCCTTTTCGAAATGAAGCGGGCCCCTACCTAAATCATGCAAATCCCACTGGCAGCGCTAGCTTCGCGCTACCTCGGCGCTAGGTTGGGGACGTTGGTTGACGTGGCATGTGAGATGCGCGCGCGTGACCCTTCTGTCCGGTCGCTCTCAAGGCTCGAGGCATTGCTTCCTCGCAAAGCGAAAGTGCTGCATCTGCCACGAAATCTGCACGTGTCTTTTGCGAAAGTGCTTCGCCTGCCATGTCTGCCCTTCCGAAAGCATTGCACCTGTCACAAGATTTGTACCTGACCTTGCGACACGTGACCCTGCGAAAAATCTGAAGACATAGGCAGTTTTTCGCGCTAGCTCCGCGTTAGCAGGCAGTTGCCAACTTGAACACTGGGGCACGCGCCTTGTTGGAGGCAATGCCCAAGAAGCCACTTGCATGTTTCTAGGCTAAAGTTGTAAGTCAGGTTAAGCAAAACTTTCTGCCCGTAGCACGAACCAATTCCGCTTTGTTACTTGCTGAAGATGTGGTGTAGCACATTGGGATGTCTTGTGTGTAAAAAGGTCATATAGCAGCAGCTCTACAAGCTCGGATAGCTCATCCGACAGCTGCTAAGAAAAGGCCCGCGCTAGCGCGCCTGTCAGTATTGTACGTTTCTTAGTCAAACCTATTGTGCCGAAATGGTTATATGTTCATATGGCCCGAATGATACGGGCCCCATGGAATGGCGATTTGCGTTTCAAAGCTGGGAACCAACATTTTGACAACCAACCGCGTGGGTGTCTTTGTTTATCGTCTGGGTCTTCACACGAGTGAGGCAAGGCAAATTCACTTGCAATTTAGCTTGGCTCGAGCTGTGCTTTGGCCTTCCCACCTCTTACCGTCAACAGACTGCGAGCAGCAGTATGTTATTTGCATATCTCGCCAGCCTTTCCTTGCTGGTTTATGGCGGTGCTATCGAAGAGGAATGCTCTGCGGTCGCGCCGGCCATGCTACAAAAGAAGAAAGTCATGGCATTAGAGGCTGCCTCTCCGAACCTGGACCTGCCAGAGCTGCCCGATTTGGGTCAGAAGCTTTCCAAAGGTCCTTTGTTCGAGCAATGCAAAGCCAGGACGGGTTACGAAGTTTGTGCCAGAAGTGTCACTTGTGCTTACTTGTTCCAAATTCCATTGATTCCTGCAGGAAGATGCCGGACCAATCGCAAGCAGCCCGCGGCCAGCAGAACTCTTCCGTGAGTTTGCTGTACTCAGGGGCCGAGTGCAACGTGCAGGAAACGACATTGGTGGCA